TTTTTAGGGCTGCCAGGCCCAAATTCGAGGCTTTTTGTGGGCTGCCAGGCCGCTGAGTTGAACCATTTAGCAAAGCCTTTTAAGATGGACCTCCAACTAACCAATCACCGTTTTAACTTTGACAAGTGCAGGGTCTCAATGAGAGTAACTGTCAAACGTTCGGAGGGCCGTGCCAGGATGACCTGGATAGGAGTGTCTTACTTGATGAAGGCAGGTTAACCCAGGGTTTTAGGTAAATATACCAGGCTTCCAAGCCGTGGGTCGATACCCGGCTACAAGGGTCCATTCAAACTCCTTGGTATTTGACACAAGGAGCCCCCAAGTAACGTGATGAGCTGTGCTCATTGGGTGCCTATGTTTGAGTTGTGCGTAGCAACAAGACTCTCTTTGGCCCCTTGGGTGTGAAGCTCCCAAGCTGTGTTGTGGCGTGATAGCCGGATTAATGGACAGGACTCCGCTTTGTCAGCTGAAACCCCCATGTACTATATTTTTGAGCTATGCTCACCGGGTGCCTATGTTTGAGTTGTGCTGTGCAACAAACTCTCTTTGGCCCCTTATGATAATATTGGCTTGATAGCTGCCTCAAGAGGGTAGTAACGCTATGTTTTCTTTGGTGAACACACCTATGTTTGAACAGGGAGCCCCAAGTGATCATATGAAGATGAGCCCATAAGGCAGGATACCCATGTTTGAACCACGCGTCAGGGCAGCAGGTCCTCTTTGGTAACCTTTAACTTTTTGCAAGAGATAAATTCTTCTTGAACTGGGATTTTGATCCGGATATTGAGAGCGTCAGAGCTTTGCAAGAGATAGCTTCCTCTTTAACCGGATTTGAACCAGATACTAATAGCTTCAGCGCTGTGTGGGAGACGGGATTTCCCTTAAACCGGACTATAAACCGGAAGCATCACTATGAGCCGGATATTTCTGATGGCCTTTAAATTTTCATCAATATAACAGTAGCCTCCGGGACCGGGTTATCTTCCCTCCAATGATCCGGAGTTCTTAAGCCTGCCGAAACTGGCAAGAGTTGTTGAGTCATGTAATTGTAGCCCCCGAGTCTTAAGACAACTCGAGGAGTTGTCTTGAGATTCTCCGTTCTTGACCATAACAGAAGGTGTATATCATTGATGTTGATAACGCGATTTGAATCCACAGAAAGTTGAGGTGACTGCGGCGGATTATAAATGATCCCGTACGAGCCGTGTCAGTAACTCGGCCAATGGTTCCTTCCAACTGGCGATTTGAAATTAACCAAACTGTAGTGGCAGCGACTTGTGCGCTTGCCCATTGAGCCACCCAGTGCAGATGACGGTTGATAGAATATGATAATTTTTCTCCAATTTGTTGAAAGAAAAACCAGGCTACCCAAGCTGTGACTTGCTCATACTCAATAAACAGCCCATGCAGACAGGTGCAGCTCGGTATGTTGATGTAGACCGGGCTGCAAAAAATGGATGACAAGGATGATCGCATCATCAGAGGCAGCTCGGACAGATGAGTCGGTCGCGGCATTGTAAGCCGGTGCAGACGGAGAAAATCGCCCGTATGTTGATGTAAACCAGACTGCGGGGGACGACGGCCTGTGCACGCGTTATTGGGTAATTCGCACGGTCAAGCAGACGGATGAATTTAAACCTGTGCGGACGAGCAAGTTGTCCTCCGCATTGTAAACCAGTGCGGACGCATGAACCAGTGGCCAGGCGGACGGGTGAGTCGTCCGTGGTGTTGTAAGGTGGTGCGGACGGGCGAGTCGGCCGGCGCATTGATGTAAACCGGACCGTGATGCGCGTATCCGTGAATGGCATAAAAATTGTCCTGTATAAAAATATTACAGGACAGAGTAATTGTTCTTTGAAGAAAATAATATGTGCTGGTAAAACAGACTGAAATGGATATCACCTGGTATTTTTTGTCGGATGATCCATATATAGCGCCATTTTTAAGCCACTCTCTCCATTTGAGGCAAAACGGCGGCTGACTAGACACAGCAGAACCGGAACTGGATGACTCTGAACCAGATCCTTCGAGTTGTGTTGACCAATCCACTTTTTTTCATCCGCTGGAGCATATGCTTGAAGCTTTGGCCTTGGCGTCTTTGAGAATTTGGAAGCGAACCCATAGAAAAACTTCGAGTGAAGTCTGAAATCAACCTTGTGGTTGTAGTCGCAGTCCCAAACGAACCCCGACCTTCAAATCCCGGAACTCTGTACCCTGAACTCTCTGATCCCGGCTTTTTTTATCCTTGTGTGCGTACCCAAACGGTGGGATATGTACGTGGCTAGGAACCCGCTGAGTCAGCACCTGCGGGTGGGGTCTGAGGCTACACCTAGTCGAGCCGAACCAACTCGCTGGCCTCCTCGTCTTCCAGTTCGGCCGTTCCTCCCGCACGAGGCGACTCTGTTCCTCGTCCACGGCGGCGACAGCGACGAGCGGATGATACGCCTGGTCCTTCTCCCCTGTCCAATCTCAGTTTTTTTTCTTTGTTTTGTCTTGGTTAGGTTTAGGGTTTTTGAATGGTGAAGCTGTAGAAATTTGGGGTCTTAATCAGTTGATTTGCTGGTGGTTTATGTTGTCCACTATATTAAATAGTTGTGATGTTTGCAGTGTAGGCTCTTTTTGTTGAATCCATGGACCCAGCAGAGGTTTTGAACGTCATATTTCATATAGGAGGGAAATTTGTTCGAATTGGTCCTAATCTGGACTATGTTGGGGGAGATGTGGCCTACTCTCAGATTGAGAGGGATAAGTTGTCATTGCAGGAGGTCAAAGGTTTTCTTGCAAATCACTTGACAGTAAAGGAAAGCATGAAGTTTTACTTTCTTATGCCTAGCAGAGACTTGATTGATGGGCTGCTGTTTCTACATGATGATGCTGGTTGCATGAGTATGTCAGATCATACAATAGAAGGTGGAGTTGCAGACATTTTTGTGGAGTACAATGGAGAACAAGATGAAGAAGGAGAGCAGGAAACTGGCTCAGATTTTGAAGATGAAATTCAGGATCACATGGACAGTGGGAGTGAAGAAGATATGCCTGCAGTCATCAGTGCTGAAGATGTGTAGTTAGAACATGTGAATGTCAATGGAGATGAAGAATTACTAGAGCAGGTGCTTGTCCCCAATGGTACTGGTGTTATTACTGCAATCATAAGTAGCCCATTGAAGAAAAGAAGTTCTGAAGTTTGCAGTTTTTCACAAAGTTCTCAAGTTTGCAATTTTTCTCAAAGTTCTCAAGTGTGTAATCCTTTCCAATTTGCAACAATGCCTGCAGCAGCAGCAGCAGCAGTAGCAGCAACAGATCCAGCAAGAAATCAAGCAGCAGAGGTTGCAACAATAACACAAGGAGCACAACTTGCAGCAGCAGCATCACAAGAAACACAGCAAGGAGCAGCAGCACAAGGAACAGAACAAGGAGCAGCAACACAAGGAACAGAACAAGGAGCAGAGCAAGCACATGAGGATTCTGATTCAGATGATTCAGAGGACAATGACTATGTTCCACATACTGATGATAGTGGTGAGGAATCAGAGGTAGTTGAGCTCAGAAATCATGCAAGGAAGTTCAGGAAAAAAATTAAAGACTCAAGGAAATGGGTTACTTCAGATGCATCAGGTGTTGTGCCCATTGATTTCATTGCAAATGTTGAAGAGGTAGTTGAGCAAATGGAATTTGAGTTAAGTGATGAAGATTATTCCTATGATGAAGATGAGGAGGGGAAGGTAGTTAGAAGGAAGAGTAAATACCCTAGATTTGACCCTCATACTGATATTCCACACTTTAGTTTGGGGATGGTTTTCAGAAGCAAAAAATCAATTTGTGAAAGCAATTAAGAGATATGGTCTTGCAACCAAAAGAAGCATCAATTTCTTAAAGTCTGAGGAGGTCAGGGTTAGAGCCAAATGTGGATGGCCTGGTTGTCCATGGTTGGTGTATGGTGCAAAGACTAGTAGGTGCTCAAGGTTCCAAATCATCACATATGAGGATGAGCACCACTGTGCACAGAATAGGGAAAACAGGCTTGTTTCTGCAAAGGTCATAGCAGAAAGATATGAACATTTCATCCTTGCCAATCCAATGTGGAAAATTGATAGCATCAGAGCCACTGTCCTAAAAGATATGTTTGCTGATGTGTCCACTTCAAAGTGTAAGGCAGCAAAGAAGATTGTCATGGATAAGTTGATGTCTGGTATGAAGAGTGAGTATACTAAAATCTTTGACTATCAGTTAGAGTTGCTTAGAAGTAACCCTGGAAGTACAGTTGTTGTTTGCTTGGACCCAAAAGAAATGGAACTGAATGTTTTCCAACAATTCTATGTTTGTTTCAATGCTCTGAAACAAGGGTTTAAAGCTGGCTGCAGGAAAGTAATAGGGCTAGATGGATGCTTCTTCAAAGGAGCATGCCAAGGGGAATTACTTGCTGCAATTGCTAGGGATGCAAACAACCAAATGTATCCAGTAGCTTGGGCCGTTGTGGAAAAGGAGAATACTGACACATGGAAGTGGTTCATTGGGCTGCTAATTAAGGATTTGGATATCAATGATGAAGGAGCTGGCTGGGTCTTCATTTCAGACCAACAAAAAGTAAAAAAATCATATGTGTCTTAGTATGTTGCATTGTTTTTATTTGAGTAGGTAGTTGTCGATAAGGCAACTGTTGGGCAAGAGTAGGTAGTTGTCGATAAGACAAGGGTAGGTAGTTGTCGATAATACAAGGGTAGGTAGTAGGCATTTATATCTTCTTGTTGTTAACATTTATGTGTTGTTAACATTTATTTCTATTTTCTTTGTAGGGCTTAATTAATAGCATGAGAGACTATTTGCCTAGGGCACAACACAGGATGTGTGCAAGGCACATTTATGCCAACTGGAGGAAGAAGCACAGGGACCATGAACTGCAAAAAAGATTTTGGGCAATTGCCAAGGCTTCAAACAAACAAGATTTCAACTACAACAAGGCCAGACTTGCTCAAAAAACTCCTGAAGGTGCAAAAGACATTATGAGGACAGAACCAGTGCATTGGGCTAGGGCCTTCTTCCCATATGGATCAAACTGTGAGTCAGTGGATAACAACCTTTGCGAGTCTTTCAACAATGCCATCATAGAATCAAGGTTTTACCCCATAATATCACAACAAGAGATGATAAGGAAGAAGGTGTATGCCAGAATTCAGGAACAGAGAAGAAAAATAATGATAGGAGGAGAGAAGAAGGGGAAGCTCCCAAAGGAAAGAAATTAAGCAAGCATGGGATTCAAATTACTTGTGGATCATGTGGGGGTATGGGACACAACAGAGGATCTTGTTTAAAGAATGGTGATAGAAACAAAAAGACAAAAGCATTTCTTGGGAAGAGAGGGAGAAAACAGAGGGACACAAAGGTAATTTGCAGCTAATCATTCACAATGTTTCCTCTATTGACCCTTTAATATGCAGGTGACCAGTGCTTATTCTTTTTTCTATTTGTAGCAAGCAGAGACTGAGGCTGCCAAAAGAAGGGCAACTGCGGGTAGATCTTCTCAACCTGCAACCAGGACTCAAGCTCCACAAACCTCTGAACCTGCAGCCACTGCAAGCTCAAGCTTCAGACCTCCCAGAAGGTCAGCACCAAGTGGAAATGATGCACCTGGAGGAAGTACATCTGCTGGTAGAGGAAGAGGCAGAGGAGGAGGAAGAGGAAGTACATCTGCTGGAAGAGGAAGTACATCTGCTGGCAGAGCGAGAGGGTTCATGCCCTTCTTCACTGCTTCTGGGAACTACTGAAGTTGTGTACTACTGGATATGTGGTTATTAAGATCCATATGCAACCCTTGCTGATGTGTGGAACTACTCTTATTTTGGATTGTGTGTGTCCTTGTGAACTTGTGACTATGTGTTATGCTAAGTGCTATGGGAACTAAACCTGTCAACATGTTCTATTTCAATGCTGCCAAAAATGAGCATGGATTCAGTTTATTATTTTGCTGCCAAAAATGAGCATGATACAGTTTATGTAGTTGCTGTCAAAAGTGAGCATGGGTTCAAATAATTATGTTGCTGTCATAAATGATCCTGCATTCAGTTAATTTTGTTACTGTTAAAAAATGAGCATGGATTCTCTAGTTCTGCCAAAAATGAGCATGAATTCAGTTCATTACTGTGAACCCAATTTATTTTCTATGAGTAAATTTTGCTCTTCTTCAAAAAAAATTCTTGTTGTCTAAAATGGCACTTCAAACCTGACAAAAAATTGCAAACTGAATCGAGTACACTATTTGTTGAATATTCAGTACATTTCCTCACAATTTTTCCAAACTGAATTCAGTACAGTGCCTTTCAAAATTCAGTACATTTCCTCACAATTTTTGCAAACTGAATTCAGTACATTGCCTTTCAAATATTTAGTACATTGTTTGGCAAATTTTGCAAACTGAATTTCATTCAATACATTTCCTGACAAAATACAGTACATTGCCTCACATCCATTTGTAGAAAATGAACTAGGATAAGATCATCCCTAGAACTAAACCTGATACAAATATCAGAAAGCCACACACCAACATCAACCCTTTCCTTACTAAATTGTCTCTAATTGAAGCACCAGCTCCACCATCTCTTGCAGTTTGTTCTGTTCTCTTCTGCATTTCCACACGCAATGCACCAGCACCCGCATCTCCATCTGTACATAATGCTGCAACATCATCCTCTAGCTTCCATACTCTATCTCGAAGATCTCCCAGCAATACACGCAGGAATGGAGATGTTGGGTCGTCATGCCACTGTATGAACCCATGTAGTTCAAAATACAGAAGTTCATAAGACAGAGAAATTGAGCAGAGCATAGGAGGACAGAGCACAGACAAGAACAGAGCATACCTGAGCTTCGACGCATGAGTAATATCATCATCCACGGTTCACCACACTCCATGATATCCACCGTGGCGCCTTCCTCCCGCAGCGGCCGCAGAAAACCGCCGGCTCGTACTCCATCGGCTGCTCACGATACGGCACCGGCGACCTCGCTGCAGCGCCTCTCCGTTGAATCGCTCCGCCGCATGAACAGGCGGAACCAATCGACGATGATGACATGCCCCGGCCGCCGACAACCTCCGCCCTCTCTCCGCCTTGCTCTGGATCGCAGTCGCCCCCTTTCCTCTCTCGCTGTCGAACCCTAGAAAATTTCCTCACCCCCGTCCGCTGTTAAAAAGAGAACTGCCCGAGCACAGGTGGCATTATTAATTTGCAATCCCACCCTCTAATGGTGCCACATCAGCAGATCCGGGCCTAAAATGAGCTTAAGAGTAAAAAAGTCCAGGATTAGAGAGTTCAGGGTACGGAGTTCCGGGATTTGGAGGTCGGGGTTCGTTTGCTACTGCGCCTACAACCACAAGGTTGATTTCAGACTTCACTCAAAAAGTTCTGAATAGTACTACTAACTGGCGTGTTAGTACCTTTGTCTTCTAACGGGAGCAATTTTCCATCAAACTTTGGGAGCTGTGCCATGCAATAGTACTAGTAATTTTCCATCAGACTGTGAGGAATCCACACGTCAATCGATCCAACATACTGCCACTGATATGACACCTTATCAAGTGGACCTGGAGACCTCCTTCTCAATCTCCAATGGCATTCTTAGTCCGCACACTGTTTTCGCTATTGATCCTTTGGCAAGTCTAGCAGTTGGTGAAAATTTTCTTCGGCCTAAAATCCAGCATAACAAGCCCATATCTTATCACGAGGCCGACTTGTAGAGCTCAGATGAACGAGAAGCAGTTTAGACCGGCGCGTGGCCGGGTCAGAGAAGGGGAAGGTTCGCGCAGAGCGGCGCGCGGCCATGGCCGGTTCAATGCGGGAAGCGACTTGTGACTCGGAACAGCGCGCGGCCATGGCGACTTGGAGGTGGCAGCTTGGGGGCGCCGGTTTAAAACAGCAAGGCCGGCTCAAGGTTGCGGCACGATGGTCCATGGCGATTTTGATAAAGCCGTGATGTCCAAATGGGTCGCGGAGACGGCGGCTTGTCGCCGACTGCCGAGGAGGCGTCTTGGCGTTCCTGTGCTAAGCCGTGGGGGCCAACGGCGGGTTACGGCAGCAGCAGAGGGTTACCGAGGCCGCGGGAGTGGAGACGTGGCCGGCTCATGGAAGTCTGGCCGGCTCAAGTCAAGGGCACACGGTTGCTTGGCCGGCTCCAAGCGCGGCGGTGGCGGCTCAAGACGAGACCAAGGCAGGGGACGGACCGGCGACTTGGGGCCGACCAAGGCAGAGGCGGCGGTGGCGACTTGGAGTCTTGGGGCCGACCAAGGCAGAGGCGGCGGTTTAAAGCGGGACCAGCGCGTCTGTTCAACCGGCGGCGGGCTGGTGATTCGGCGGTTTACGGGCAAGAGAGCCACGGTAGAAACAAATTCCAATGGCCCGGCGTGCGACAGTAAAAGCGGCATGCCGATTTATAGGCGAATCCAAGACGGTGAGAGTCGGGTCGTAGTGAAAGCTACTATGGCAGCTGCTGAAGCGGGCTCTGTGGCAGCCCCTGGCGATGATGCGGTGGCTCCGCCCCAGCGTTTCAAAGATGAAGCGGGTCAGAGAGTCCATGGCGATTTCAAGCAGGGAGAGGCCACGGCAGAGGCAGTCGGACTCGGGTGACTCAGCGCGCTGTAGCTCTCACCAAGGGAAGCTCGAGGCGCCCGGCGATTTAGCGGAGACGGGGTGATCCGGCGACCTGAAGGGCCGATTCATGGGTGAGGCTCGCTGGCAACTCGCCAGCCAGCTTCTGGCGGAGGCGAACCGCGGATCAGGCCGCATAAGCAGCAGAGGCGTAACCCGGCGACTCCGGAGGAGCGTCGGCAAGGCAAACCGCGGCAATGTAGCGGCAATTCTCGGGGCGACAGCAGTGGCGACTCGGTGACTGGGGCGATTCATCTGCGGCAAGGTCGTAGGCCAGATTGAAGTGGAGTCAGATAATCCTTGTATTTCCGTGAGATCTAGAGTAGTAATACTAATCTTTGGACATGTAGCAGTCGTACAGGCGTGCGCTTTGCTTGTGCTTTTTCTTCTCAGGAGCAGCAAACATCCATGAACACAGAAACTAGCAGCAACAACCCGTGACTATCAATTCGAAATCTCCACGCGCGCAAGTGGAGGACGCGCGCGGGAGGCGGCAGTATACTACCCGCCAGCTCCCTCTCTCCATCGCAGCAAGCCACTTGGAACTAGCGGATGCAGCAGCACTGCAGGCTTCGGGCAGAGGGTCAGCACGAGGGCGACTCGACGCCTGACGGCGAAGCGACACGCTGGCAACTTAGGGATGCCTACTTCACGCCGGTGATGGTCTGATGCAGCAGCGATGGTGACTCGGATGGGCGCCGGCTGCGCAAGGCCACAACCACAACGAAGGAGGACCTACGAGGAGAACCGGCGAGGCGCTGTGCAAGGCCACGGCCACAGCGGAGGAGGACCTGCAAGGGGAGCTGGTAGGTTTGACTCGAAGGCGACTCAGTAGCGGCGACTCTCCGCGAAGACAAGGCGGCGGCTCAGGAGGCGATACAGAACAGGTCCGCGATTCAGAAGATGTTCAACTCGTCTCGCGGTGAAAACTGCAGCGGCGATGGCAGGGCCCAGGCTGGCTGTAATGGCCCGAAGGCGCGGTGATGACTTGATGCGGCGCGTGGATGCGAGGCTGACTCTGATTGACCGAGACCTCCTCCGGGTCGTGCTTGGTCTGAACCCCCGTCCGGGTCGTGGTAACTGGATAACCCATGCCTGGGTCACTTGGTACTTTCTCCTTTTTTTAGACCGGACAAGAACCAGACGTAGATAGCCGGCTCAGATTTGCTCCCCTTTTGATCTGGTGTCCTCTTAGTGGTCAACTTCAATCAGGGAAACACATCCAACTGATTGTGAAACTTGCGGTTGGCGGATTAGACAGATCTGATCGTCAAACAATGAATCTGCCGGCTCTATCCAAGTTTGCTCAGGCTAGGTCATCCCGCGCGATCGTCGTCTCATTCTTCTTCATCTAGTCAATCGCGAGTTTCTCAAACCCTAAGGAGCTCCCTCCAAAAACTCAACACCACCGTGCGCAGGCCCCATGGTGGGCGCCAACTGTCGTGGAATTAACACGTCAGATGTCCTTAGTGTGAGGACTTAGTCGCGAGGCCAACGCATCTATGTGGTAGCTTGAGAGGGGTTGAGTGGGACAAGAGACGCAGGTCGGATCAACACATAAGACAATGATTTAGACAGCTTCGGGCCCCGGGAAACATCATCCG